TTCCTCACGCTGTCTTCATGGTCCTGACAATAGAAGAACAAAAACTGGGACCAAGGGGCATGCACAATCAAGCAGCCTTGCAAACTATGGATTGACTGATTGTCATCTCAGCTCTGGCCGAGCTGGGTTTCCTGGCACCAGGGGAGATGATTGCCTGCCTGCAAGGCTCATTGTTCCTGGAACTCGCTGTAAGCTGCAAAGGAGAGATAACTAAAAAAGAATATGTGGCAGAGTGAAATGACGGTGGCTGGGGCCGTGACCACAGGTTCTTCCCCCAGGCTTAGCACAAGGACTGGAGACTTTTGGTGCCGCTTCCATGGTCTAGAGCGGGATATTGTAAAATCGAGTGGTCAGTGGTCCGTTGGATATGATATTCCTCTGACTCAAGGAAATATCATACTCTTTAGTGCCTTTAACCTCAAAATGAGAGGACAGTAATTAGGTTAATTTGGGGTGCGTGGATAAGGAGATTTAGACACTCCTTAAATGATAAACATGTCTGCATGAATAGTTGGACAGGAAGACAAATGAGAATTAGCAAAGGCAACAGGTCAAGTGTAGACCTGTAGGTCAAGTCTGGTCTTGCTTTGAGTTACCCCAGGACATCTGTGAGTTCAAGTGAAGAGTCCGTGCTTCCAGCCTGTGCGTCCCGGGGACACATTCTGCTCCAAGAAGGATGGGTTGGGGTCTATTCCCAGAAGATCACATGCCGTTCTATTTTCAGCTTTCTGAGGAGCTCCATAATAGTTTATACAGTGATGGCCCCTTCTGGCAGTCCTGCCAGCAATCTATGAATGTTCATTTCCCCGCATGCTTGCCAACACTTGTTATTGCCTGTTTTGTTTTATTTTGTTGTTTTTGTTGTTTTGTTTTGTTTTGTCTTGTCTTGTTTTTAAGTAATCTCTTTTGGAATCTTCAGCAAACTTGTGGCCACATATAAACACCGTTGTATAGAAAGGAAACTGTCACACATACACAAAATGTTTCTATGAGAAAAGACACAGTTAATGCAGCCTAGCTGCTTCTGAATTTGACAAGGATCATTTTCAGTTTTGCACAGTCAACCAACTGCATTACTTTCTTCGGGCTACATTTATGAGACTTGTGGGGCTCTGTAGGACTTACTGGAGATGCCGAGACCCTCCACTTTGGAAACTCCGGCATAGGGCGGAGACCATCCATGTTAACTGGTGTTCCCGGTTTGAGCAAACACTGGGCTTAGATCATCAGGCAAAAATCTGAATTGTAATTCAAAATCTTTCTACTGTTGCCAAACAGAAAACCTCTCTGAGGTTTCCAGGGTAACCAGCGAGAGTAAATCTACGATTTTATGCTTTCCACTTGGGTTTTCAGGAATGTATTAGATTAGCGTGATCATAATAAGGCAGGAACGCTAGATCTCTCTGTGTTGGGAGGTTTGTGAAATGAGATTTATCAAAATTGCTTCTGAACAAACAACCCCCTGACAGCAGCCACCATAACGAGGAGGGCGGTCTTTCCTAGAGCTGCAGTTGTCTGAGGTATCTGCAGGATTTCCTCCTTGCAATACCCAAGCTCCCACGTTCTGCCTTCCTTTGCAGTGGGTCTCTAAGAAGCCCTGAGATGAAAGCAGAGAAACAAGGGGAGACAAGCCTGGAGGCAGACCTGTAATAAACATTCCCCCACCAGCATGGCAGACTTCTCCCCAACACTCCCATCTACAGCCCCCACCCCCAAGACCCATGTGGCCCTAGTCAGGGCTGCAGAGCCTTGTGAGGAAAATCCTGACACTTTCCTAAAATGGAGAGGTCTGATTTTAGTCTTCCTAGGAGCCGTAGAGGTTTGTGCCTGTTGTGCGGGCTAAATTATTAGCAATAAAGTGATCCTTGTATTGTCCCCCAAACAGTAAAATTAGCAGGAGACAGACAGACAGACAGACAGACAGACAGACAGACAGACACAGAAGAAAATCTCTTAGCTCTGAGGTAGACTGCACAAAGACTTTGTTGAAGTGCAGGAGATGATGCCGTTCATGTGGGTGCTGCTGTGGCCTTACAGGGGGGGAACAAGAGAGAGAATCCCGGAGCTCCTGGGAGGGAAGAAAGACAATGTCTGAACGTGAACGTGAACGATTACTTCCACAGAAATTCTGGCCTCAATATCCCTCTCATATGTTGAAGCTCCCCTCACGGTTCTGTCCGCCTTGTACCAGAGTGCCCTCTGCAGGGCAATGAGGCCCAGACCTGAAAATCCAAGGTCTTGCCTTGCCTATTCCCTATGCTATGCGTAATAAAGCTAGAATAAGGGGGCTGGAGGTTGCTGTAAAACACACACTTAAAATTGTTCAAATATGCTTCTGGCAGTTACTAGACACTCAGGCCTTAAGCTGAAAATATGTGTTGGCTCAAGTTACCCTCACAAATATGTTCCTTTATGTTTACAACCCTTGCAAATATCTTACTTGCTTGTCCACTCTTAGGAAGGATGTACGAGCGAATCGGCCCTCCCCGCACTCAGTGGGCTCAGCCAGGCTCTGACAAGGCTAATGTAACACATCATGTAAATCAGCGGAGAAACGAGAGACTCTGGATGCTTGCCCTCACCATCAGAACCGGGAAAGCTTTTTGTTCCTCAGAGTAGCACATCAATGTTGTGTCATAGTATCTGACACTGGGTTTGTGTTAACATAAACTCTGTGATAAAAAGTGATCAACGGCCTCCTTTTCCCTACCTCCAGTCCAAGCAGATATTCATTTCTCTTTTGAAGAAAGGGGACTGTAAACAAACTTGAACCCGCCAGTTTGAATTTAACTCAACCCAAAGCACACTTGCAGAAGGAATGGATCATCTGCTTAGGGGTCTTTGATTTCCTTTCTAGTACTCTTGCAAATTAGTAAATTACACTGCTTCTACTTCTGAGTAAACTCTTTATTCTCGCTTCCTTCTCAAAGGCAATGGACTTGCACTTACTAAAAATCAAATATATTGATTTTCAGAAAATATGTACTTCGAGACTAGAAGATGTATGTATGTATAATCTGTACTGAATACACAGGATATACAATTACATATTCATTCCAATCTTACAGTCCCCCAAAGAAAGCCAAAGTTTCCATCACTTAAATAGGCAGCATATGAAAACATCACTATGGCTTTTGTAATTTAACATTTTTTTTTCTGTTCTGTGCATGTGAATTTAGAACTATTGATGGAAAGGGTGGGTTTTATTCATACATGTATATAATGTATTTTAATCATGTTTCTCATCATTATGCTTTCTCCTCACCTCCCTCTGAACTCATTTTCCCCAACCAATCCCCCTCCTGTTTTCATTTCATAAAAAGGAAAAGAAGAAAATAAAAATGACTCACTGAGTTTAATTAGGGTTGTTTTCATAAACATGGTTAGATAAGCATGGGTGTGGGAACAAGGGCAACTTACCATTGGCCACATCACTGAAGAAGCCCACCCCGACCCCCACCAGCCATTCAGCTTCTTCTCTAGGACTAGGACCTCCTGAGATCCTCTCGTATTCCTAACAGAATGTCGACAGCTCAATCTTATGCAGGTCTTGCGTAGGTAACCACAGCTACTGTGAGTTCTTGAACAAAATGATTATTACATGATGTCTTTAACAGTTTGCCCTTGACTTATCTCCCATCGCAATTGGATCATTCATCTCCCCAGCCACAACATAGTGTTTACTTACCTCACAAAGCTTAACCTAAGTCTAAACAGGTGCTGTTTAGACTTCCTACCCAACTTCAAGCCTGAATAGAATTTGTCAATGAAATGGGCCTTTCTGTACTTATGGTTGCAATTCTCAAACACATCAAAAGCATTGAAAAGGTTGACCCAATGCTTTTATTCTTTCAGTATCATTATCCTTGAGCCATGATGTGTATAAGTACTATCAGTGAGGCAACCACACTCTTAGTAGCATCAATGGAATGGAATAGTGGTGCTTAGGAAACCTAAGCTCAGAAACATTCCCCATTCAGAACATAGAACGCCAAAACGTAAACTGATTTTCTTTGTTCTAAGGGGAAAAGATTAAGAAAGTGATTCTTTTAAACAAATAACTAGGGGCAGAGAGAGGACTCAGTGGATACCCTGGAAGCCATATGGAAAGGTGGAGAGAAGACCTGACTCCAGAAGATTATATTCTGATCTCTGCTTGGGTTCCATGGCATGAGTACCTCCCACACATATACAATAATAGTAAATAAAGTCAAAAATAATAATAGCAACTAAACTCTTATATAATATGAGACATGTAATTTATTAACCATATTACTACAAGCCTGTATTTCTGGCCCCTGCAATTGTAATTCAGCTGATTATGAATTTGGAAGTGTGAACATTGAGCTACAATAATGAGTAATATGTACGAATTATGCAGCTAGTTCTCTTGTCCAGATAGAAGGAAAGAGCTAGTTCATATACTGTAGGTAGGATATATAATTTTATCAGTGCAATGCTCTTCAAACTTTAGTAAATGCAAGAATTACTGCAAGTAATTCTGAAGTACAGATTCACGGCTCTGAGCCCCTGAAATTCTTAACCAACTTCTTAATTAATCAATCTAGTCCTTGGGTACCTCCTATAAATTTTTTTTCTATTTGAATTCTCTCTCCAACCTCAGAAAAACATCTATTATTTCATCTAAATTGCACTTTTTATTTGAACTGAAACTACAGAGTCATGAGACAGAACGCTGATCTGAAGTCATCTTTCCCATACTGTCCTGACTTGGCTGGAGTGTCAAGATCACTTGCATGGGAAGGGTCAACAGCAATTAGAACCTGCTCATCTCAGGCAGTGTATCTCCCACCGTGATTGTGGAGAACTGACTCACTGCTTTATAGAGTTCAGTAATGTTCAAAAGCCGTGTGGACTTGCAATTTGTTTTTTAAATTGTCTTTAAAAACAATTTTACTGTCTTTCATATTGCTGCCTAATATGGTTATGTTAAAATGAAATAAATCACAAGACTTACTCTATTTTCTTTTCATTTCAAGGGAAGACGAGGGAAAACAGGACCCCCAGGAAACCCAGGACCTCCAGGACCACCAGTGAGTAAATAGACTATGGTCACGTGGCAAAATAAACATACCCGCTGCCACCTCATTCATTTTATTTCCCTTTATCCATTCAAGGGGTTAGGCTATCAGCAGTGCATTGGTGTTGATTAATATTGATTACAAACAAACAAAAACAAGAGGGCATAAATTAAATTAGGTAGGATGTTGATTTTTATTGCACTTTTTTAGGCAAAACAGAGAATGCTTTATAAAAATTTCAGTAACTACTTTATGTTTTGAAGAAGAAAGTGAAGGTGTGCTAACAGGCAAGGGGAAGCCTTCCTGTCATTTCTAGCCATTTGACAAGGCTTCAAGACAAGTGTCTCTGAGAAGGAATTTAGATGATGAAGACGCGTGCACTAAGTGGGCCGAATGCCTGGGAAGAAGACGAATATGCTGGACCCTGGAGTGAGATCTCAACTGCTGATAGACACATTTACTGAAGAGTCAGGAAGATTAAGAAATACGTGACCATGTGAAAGGATTTACAGTTCTCTGCTCCACGGGTTTAGTTTATTGCTATGGTGTTAGGGGGAGGTGTGTGTATATTTTAAGTATTAGCATTTCAACTCAGCAATGGTTCTGATTCAGAGCGCTCGTTAAATCTTGTATTTGGAATAAAAATGGTTTATGAACTTTTTAATATAGTAAAATAGCCAATTTGTTAGACTAAGAAGAAAAGAAAGCAGTTATGTAGACCATAAATGGGTTTGATACATAGGTCAGCATTTACTTAAGAAGAAAACGTTGGGCTAAGCCATTGGTTCATTTCTGCTTGGTAATTGTGATCTAAGGAAACTGATTTCCCTAAATGACTGAAACCTTTCCTTTCATACACACATCATCCAAACTTCATCTAAAGGTACAGTCAGCCTTCATCACTTTGAGGTTGTCTCCATCACAGGATAAAGTGATGACCTGTATCTACCCTACTCACAGTGTAGTTGAGGACAGCATTGAAAAGGGACAGTAATTCATTCCCCACGCGTTCTGTCACTGAACACTTACTTTTTCCAAATGTAAAATCCTCCAAAAAGAGAGCTGCTGGTTCCCAAATGATTAGAAATGAAAAGAGTTCTTCAGAATCAATCTTTTCAAGGTCATAATAACTAACGTTGTCAATAAATAGCTCATCAAAAAAAATCTAGTTGCTCTTAATTCACATTGCTCAAGTGTTTCACATTTATTTAGGGTCCTACTGAGCACTTAACTGGGGCTGGACTTGAAAAACTGAATAAGACACCGTCCTTCCTTTTTTTTGTTTGTTTGTTTGTTTGTTTGTTTGTTTTTCCCAAGACAGGGTTTTTCTGTGTAGTTTTGATGCCTGTCCTAGAACTCACTCAGTAGACCAGGCTGGCCTGGAACTCACAGAGATCCGCCTGACTCTGCCTCCCGAGTGCTGGGATTAAAGGTGTGAGCCACTACCTGGCCGTCCTGACTCTGCCTCCCGAGTGCTGGGATTAAAGGTGTGAGCCACTACCTGGCCGTCCTTCCTTTTTATGAGGTTCAAGTTCAGGTGAGAGAAATGTGCAGCGAGGAAGAGAATTCAATGGAGATAACACGGTTAGTTTCTTGGAGGAATTTACAGCAAAGAATAAAGATGGAAGCTTGAAAAGTCAAACAAACAGAAGAGGAGAAGGAGCCAGCTGGGTGCCCCCTGAGGAAGGAAGACAATGTGAGCCAACACCCAGAATGTAAAACCTCTGGTGGGTAGAGGTGGGCTCCCTGCCACAGACAGCTGAGGCACAGCCCGAGGCCAACAGGGATGAAGTCAAACCTTCCCAGGGTCCTGGCAAACCTCATGGAAAGCTCTGAAAGTAAACAAAGGCCTAAGCTGGAGAGGACCAAGGCCAGATTTCACTGATGGTCACTCTAGCAACAAACTGAGAGCAGATTGCTGAGGGCAAGCGAGACTCACTGTAGCTATTTATTGCCCCTGGAGTCTCTTCTCTGCAGGATGTTTGTTACCTCTGCCTGCCTGCCTGTTTGTATTTTATTTCCATATAGAGTGAGAGGGGACTAAGAGCAATCTAGTCTATTTTTAAATAGTTTTTCTTCTTTTCTAGCACTGTAGTCTGCGTTCCAGGCGCCCTACTTCAGGACAGGGAACAAGGCAGCTAAGAGAATGGGTGGTAGGGGGCTAAGATTCTTCCAGTTGAGATCTGAGATGGTGTGTGACTCATCCCAGGAGCCCAGACTGAGACGTTCCTGAAGCAAGTATGAGAAGGCCTTATGACAAGTTCAACTATAGAAAGGAAACAAAGAAAAATCAACTTTACCTCTTAAGCAATATATCTCTCAAATGAATGAATAGCTGAAATATTTATAACATTATGTTTGAGCAGTTTTTTTTTTTTTTGGTTAAAACTTTAGTCAATTTGAATATTTGAAAGGAACGAAGGAACGGGAGTCTTCAGGAGGCATTGGGCAAGGCTTCAGTAATAGAGTACTTGACTCAGTGTCCTCAAGAGAACATTCTTCCCTTTGGGGGGTTGGAGGTATTTGCTGAATCAAAGCAGTGGTGTTATTTAGGTGAGTGTCAGTGAAGATGAAAGGCATTGGGGAAAGTCTCTGATGGCCTGAGGCAACGCAAAATAATTAAACCAATTGAGTCCCTCCTTTACCCCAGGCGTCTTTGTTCTGAGGCCAAATTGGGATTCTCTCACCTCCCTAAGAAATCTTTACAGCAAAAGACACATCATTTACAAAGAATAATTTTCTCTAACCTTAGTGTTAGCGGGTGAGCTGTGTGTATGTGTATGTGTATGTGTGTAGGTGGGCATCTGCATGCACACATGCATAAAAAGGACGATATAGCCACAAAGCCACCATAATTTTAAGAGAATCAAATCTCCTAGGGAAAAGACAAAATCCCAGAAGGAGATTTTGACTATCCTTACTTGCTTTTCTGGTATTGTGATCAATCACTCTGACTAAAGGCCACTGGGGAAGGAAAGGGTTTCTTTGGCTTGCACATCCAGGCCACACTCAAGGAAAGTCAGGACAGGAACTCAAGCAGAAACGACAGAGGCGTGCTACTTACTGACTCACGCCCTGGCTTGCTCAGATAGCTTTCTTATACAGCCCCAAACCGCCTGCCTATGGATGGTACCACCCACAGTGGGCTTGGATCCTTCCATACCAATCGTCAATCAAGACAATCTCTCATAGATATGATCATGGCCAATCTAAGGGAAGGAATTCTTCAGTTGAAGTTCCCCATTCCCAGGTGACTCTAGGTTGTATCTAGTTGACAATCATCACTACCCAGGACATTTACTGAATCTATTGAAGAATATTACTAAGTTATGAGTGCACTGTATCAATGTCACATATATTACTCCAGATTCGCTCACCACAGTTCAATTATACCATCAGGGAGAATTCATCTTTTCAGGGAAGACTTATTTGTAGTTCATACACGCAATCTGCAGTTGGTTGCCAGGGTAGCTATGCTCACTTATGTTGAATATATTTCTTGAAATGATTTTTTCATAGTTTCCTATCAAATAGCAGATATATCTATACAAAAGCAAATGCTTCCAAATTTCCTAAATGACTTTTGCCAACTTGTCCATTTATTTTTGAGATTATAACGTATTTTCCCCTTCCCTTCCCTTTCCTTCCTTCAAGCGCTCGAATGACCCCTCCCTGCTGTCTTTCAAATTCCTGGCCTTCCTTTTCATTCATTGCTGTTATATACACATGTATATGTATATGCATATAGATTCCTAACTATAACCTGCTCAGTCTAGAGAGCGTTACTCCTGTGTATATTTCCAGGGCTGATCATTTGGAATGGGAGAGTCAATCTGTGTTCTCTTCCCTGGAAAAGGCTATTTTTTTTTATAATTCCCTATGATGCGATGCCTTACTCAGCCTTGATGCAGGGGGGAGGGGCTAGGTCCGTCCCCAACATGGTATGACAGCCTGTGTTGGCTACCCAAGGGAGGCCTTATCCTCTATGAGGAGGGGATAGGGGTCGGATGGGGTAGGTGGGGGGGGAGGGGAGCGGGAGAAGAGGAGGGAGGGGGAACCGGGTTTGGTATGTTAAAGGAAAGAAATTTTTTAAATAAAACACTATATAAAAAATAAAAATGAACATATAGATAAAAAAGAAAAAGCTGTTTTTGTCAGCCTCCCTGAGGAGCCCGTAGTTCTTTGTGTAGAATTGAGGTCTTACAGCCTTTCCCTGTCCAATTTGACGTGTTTATTGTTGTTGTCCTTGTTCAGCTCCCATTTCAGCAGTCATATTGGTGAGAATTTATGGGTGTAGTTTCTGACATTCTGCAGAGAAACAGTCTCATGACAAACTCCCTGTTTCTCTGGCCTGTCCGGTCTTCCCAGCCCCTCTTCAGCGATGATCCCTGAGCCTCAGTTAAAGGAGTTGGATTGCAGATGGGACAAGACTTCATAACTCTGCATTTCTGTAATGGTCTCCATCTGTTGCAAAGAGAAGCTTCCTTGACTACACTTATCAGACTAGATACTGGAAACCGATGTGTGGTATCTGGCTGGGCGGAGAGGTTGGATGTAGTTCAGTGGTTGTTTTTTACCATGCCATAGATGTCGAGCCTGCAAAATCCAAGAACATGGTACAGCCATCTGGTAAGGGCATTCTTGAACAATAGCATAGTGGAGGCACCAAGACTCCTTTCTTCCTCTTACAAAGCCACTAATTGTATCATGAGGACCTCACACTCATGGTCCCATCTGAAACTAATTACACCCTCAAAAATCCCACCCACCTCCAAATACTGCTAAATATGAATCCCGTGATTAAATTTCCAATACATAAAATTTGGAGGACTCATTAAACAATAGCAGAAGGAAAGCATTACACAGCGATACCTTAAATGAATAATACCTTCAAACGTGCTGAGATTATAATTGAGAACAATTTTTCAGAGAGGCAAAGTATACCAACACTAAAGTCCCTCGTGAAAGTTATAAGTCCAACAGAAAAAGAAAGAGGCTCAGTAGAACCAGGA